AACGCCGATGCAGGCAGGGTCGGCTAGCCCTCTCTTTCTTCTAGGCATCCCTCCCAGAGCGTTTACAACTCCGTAGCGCATGCCCATTGCCAGGTCTCTTCTACGATCCAACCTCTCTCGGTACACAACGCCAACGCAGGCAGTATCTGTTAGCGATCTCCTGTATTTAAAGCCGACTGCTCGCGCTGCTGTGGCCCGCGCCCGAGCAACGATGACCTCCAGTGGATTTCTGGAATAAGGAGACCACCCAAGTGCACTTGTAGTGCAACTCTCAGTGCTTTTCGAAATAAATGTGTTGCCGCCACCCTCACGCTGCCACTGGCCACCGCATATATATTCGCAATGTTCATAGACTGTCACGCCGCCTAGCGGAATTCAGGAGCGTTCTCTGAAGGATGATCAGTAGGCCGACGCTAATCAGCGAATATACTGGACCGTCCATGGCACGAAAAATCTGATTCGTTCTTGCAAGACGCGAAGCTTTCGTGAAAATACGGGGCAACTCACGCTTTCAATTATAACGCGCAGAGTGCACATATAAGATTCGCAGGACTTTTCTGCAGCCACTTTGGATAGTTAAATGTTAACGGCCGACCATTTCACTTAGAACTCGGCTTGTTTTACGGGCGTATAACATTCGTCAGTTCTTTTGTAGTGCATGAATCTCATAATATTCATTGTACGCGGAAAGTATAGCGCAGGCTCACGATTTGCGCTTCCAAACCTTGGCCTACTCTGCGCCGCTTGTTTTTTTACGTTCGTTGATAGATGGCAGCACACTGCTAGCGATTCCATTTTTTGGGGGAGTGTTGGGGCGATATGGCCTCCACACCCCTAGATAAACGTGGTGAGTGACGCCGTGTGAGTATTGTTCGTGGTGAAACACGCGTTGTTGATGCTATCAAAGTCGTTTGGCGGAGAGAATTCCTCAGATTACTTTCATCAGTGATGTTCAAAAAAAAACCGTCTTGACGTCGAGGTTTTTTACTGCACATAGATAGTTGTCAACGCGCTCAGAATGACAGTAATGATGAACGATCAGCTGCTAGCTCACGAGCAGACTTGCACTTCACGTCCCGTCATGCGTTAATGTTTTTTTTTTTAACACGAGAGCGTTAGAGAGCTCGTGTCGCAGAAATCCCGCTGTCGGCGTCGGCCCCGTTGGTTGTGAGTGGAAAATCGTCCGTGAGCGAAAAAGCAAATTACAGAGATCACCGCGGGAAGGCTGCTACTTGTCCACGCGTGCGGGCGTGATCACGCTGAATAAACCACGCAATCCGAAAAAAATTATAGTGTTCAAGGTCACGAGGCGCGGTTAACGTAATTTCGTTGCCCTTGCCACCCCTCCCTGCTTAGCTTCCAGCGTTTTCGTCGGTACGAGAGAAAAGATAATGCAATTGCAGCGTGCGACAAACCTTTGTAACTCCACTCGCACTGAACGGATTCTTAAAATTTTTCCGGCGTTGAATTCTTGAGGCAGTAAAGTTAATTCTTTCCATGGTTACTTCAAAAATTGTTTCAGGGTCCTTTAACGCATTTTGCTCGACAGATGTTACGACGACAACGAACTCAATCGGCGATTTGTATGCGCGTTTGGGATGCCTCAAACTATAGTATACGTCGAAAAAGGCCGGGATAGGCAGCCATCGCCGCTAAAAACACACGGAAACTTTCAGACAGCTCTAAAAACAGACAACTATGTCCATCTAGCGGAAAACATATTATGCCTTTCCAGAGGTGCTGATCAAGCAAACAGCAAACGCTAGAGAATGTTCTGCTATCTGCGAGGCATTGTGAGACTCTTTATGGCCTCCGAGATGGCGAGCGCGCGGTGTGTGTCTTAAAGGCAGCGCGACTCTTGCTTTAGAACAAAGACCTGTAAGTATCCATTCGCGCGCGCATGCTGGTACAATCTATAGTGTGTGTGTGTGTGTGTGTGTGTGTGTGTGTGTGTGTGTGTGTGTGTGTGTGTGTGTGTGTGTGTGTGTGTGTGTGTGTGTGTGTGTGTGTGCGTGTGTGCGTGTGTGTGCGTGTGCGCGTGTGCGCGTGTGCGTGTGTGCGTGTGTGTGTGTGTGTGTGTGTGTGTGTGTGTGTGTGTGTGTGTGTGTGTGTGTGTGTGACCAAACATTATTAAGAATGCACTTAGCGGTTGAAGGGTGCGTTAGGGGTCGAATTTCGCTATCGCGTTCAACTCTTAAAGACGAAGCTTAAGGGTCCCCCACTTTTTTTACACTCGTAAGTCCCTTTGTACTATTGTATATTATCCTTCAATGAGCTCAAAATAAAAGCATACATTTTCTTGTGCATTGAATTTATCCCGATTACAGTGAATATTACAAAGCACCGCATGCCGCCAACACGCTCGACCAGCGAAGCGAAATGGTTAGAGCGATGAAATATGCAGTTACGGCTACAGTCCCCGCCAACTTCTACACTGCACCGGTGCCATCCGAACGACGTTGTTATTCGACAAATTTTCGCAATTTTGACGTTGCGAAAAGCGTACTCGTGTATTCGTTTCGATATCCTTAATTGTTTCGATCGCGCTGATGAAACATGCAACATATACAAGTGCAGGGATCTGCGCTCTGCTAGAGTCTGGTTATGGCTCTGACACAAGTGCTACTTAATGGGAAGTTAAATGTTTGTGTTCCGTTGAAGAAGCCGCTACATGATGCTTACAGCACAAGTAACGACGGCGTAATATGTTCGCAAACCATCGCTACGTTCGTTCCTGTGCAGCCGCGACGGCGCGCTATTCGCTAGTGGCCTACTACTGCGGCAAATCTGCCGGACACGCTCGGCACAAATGATCTCGGGGTGCGTTCAGTTCATACGCGAATTCTGCTTCGCCCAGTTTTTTCTAGCACGCACAGGATTACGCAAAGCATCGTTGATACACGGTCGATCAGCTGACACCACCACCCTTCGCACTGCGGCGAGAAATGAAGTAGCGAACATTCAACAGTTCCTATTGGTTGGGAAAATACTTTGGTTTGATATACATTCATTTGGCTATCAAGAGTTCATCCAGTGAAAGCGGCACGGGGACTCCGTCCGCGCGTCCTATGTTTTCTGATGCGAGTTCACGGGTCGATCATCTTTCCACAGCCATCTTGGATTGCACGGCGCGCCACCTATAGGCCGTGGGCATTGCGAATAGGTACTGGATCTTCACCTCCAAAGTAGTGCTGGTGTTGCTTCTGCTGTGTGTGGTCGAACAATAGAAACTCGCAGCGTGCACTTTACCTATAAGCAGACTTCAGCTCTCTTGTGTCCCTTGAGCGTCTTCTGTCTCTCATTGCCGATTAGCAGCGATTAGCATGTTCTATTAGGAAACACCAGTTTATCACTGCGTGCTTTCTATGTCGCCAGGTTTCTCTCCTGCGCAACGCCGCGACGAGTGCCAGCGTCAACGCCGACACCAGTGCAGGTGTTAGCGGCCACTGCTTAGCATCTACAGATGGTCTCCTTTAGCGGGAGATGGTGTAAAGTTATTTACGGTAACACAAAGACACTAACAGTTGCACGTAGTTGTCTAATTGTCCTTCCTCGCGCATGGTACGCATAAAATGGCGTTTTTTTTATTCTTTAGCATGGTAATTCAAGTATCCACTGTCTGATCAAAACACTTCTAGGCCTTTTTCTTTTGGCATAGCTGAGAAGGGCAGCACAGGAAGAGATAGCCAGACCTCTAGAAGACCCACAGGCAGAGGATGCCTCGCGTCAGCTCAGGTTGAATCGCTTGTTTATTTGTTTATTCAAAATGATAAGTCGCACCCACTCAGGTGTATTAGCCAAGAAAGCGTAGTGTGCCTTTCCTGTGAGCCTTACAACTATGTGTAAAAATCAATTTGTATTAAAATATAACTAATACAAGGCAAACTACAGAAAAAGAGAGGAAATGGGGGAAAACGGCAAATGTTCGTTTCAGAGACTATGATATTTCAGGTATTGAGATCACCATACAGCTGCGTTTAATTCACCTAACCATTAGGACGACTTTGCTTTGGCGCGACTTCTTCCCTGTCGGTGAGTGCCTTAAGAAAAAAATTACAAACAAACTAAAAGCTACGTGCGCAGGATGATGATGATGATGATGATGATGATGATAATGATGATGATGATGGTGCATCCACTATGGCCCTTGCTCACTCGGGAGAGATTCGCCAAGAATTGGTATAATATGAAATGTTAGGCCTTTCAAGTTATACATAAACCTAACAAAAGAAGGTGAAAGCTAACGCAAAAACAGAAAGAGTGCTCATCACATTTTTCTTTTTTCTTTTAATCTTGACTTGACTCTCACCTGACTGTTCTGCACAGTTTCGCATTAGCTAACTGCTCATACCATGTCAGCGCGACAGTACATGCTGGCTCGTCCCGTTTCACAGCTGCTAGCAGTTGCTTTCCGGAAGTTCGTTGAAATGTAGAGGACTAGGATGAACCCCATAAACGTTTAACACTCGATGTCACCCGATAAAATAAATAGCGTTCATAAACAGCACTCTACAGCGAAATTTGAGTTTATTGGCGTTCCTATACACGCCTATCTCGAAAAAAATGGTATTTTATGCATATAGGCGCAAAAACTAAAAATAGGCAATCACAGGGGCAATAAAAACATCAAAAAAGCCTTCTTTATGTCTAAACAATGCTCATATACCAAAGAGGAGTGATAGAAACGCACGTAACAAAATGGCCATTTCCCTAAAATCCGGGCTCTAATGATCATGTGTGCTTCTTCCGTCAATATCTTAGGGGGCTGTGGAATATATTACAAACAAAATAAAGCTCGTCCTAGAAGCGTCATTTCTTATCAAATGCCATGCGACGTAATAGCTTTCACTGCGCGAGCTTCTGCGTACGATGAAGCAGAAGACGAAGAAGAATCCAAGTCGCGCTCCGAGTGGCATGTTTCTCTCGGCTGTTCAGGATTTGTGGCAGAAGACTCAAGTCCTTCAGCGCCCCAGTTTGAGTGCAACAGCTAGCAGCACATCATGCCCAGTCGTTCGAGCAAGTCAAGCCTGTCCACAAAGTCCTTCACGTCGGCGAGCTCGCACTTTAAGGACAGCGCTGAGAACGACAAGCACTGGAAGTCATCACTCTACGAGGAACTCGCCAGCAAGGCAAGTGTCCTGCTTACTCGTACTGTCCGAATATCTCGCTCTTTGAGGACAGCACAAAGCTGCCGTTCGCACGCCACACGTAATGTCAGGTGGGCTGAGTTAGTCGAAACGTCCTTTAACGAACTCCTTTAAGGTCCATCATTAGTGAAAAAAAAAAAACTGGCTGCATATATATACTAAGCTTTCTGTAACATTTGGCTGCGAAAGCGTGCTGCTGTCTTGGGAATGCATTCGGTTATACAATCGGATCCGCACTTCTAGCAAGGCATAAATTAACCGCTCTGTACACTTGTTACTTTACTAGTCCGTGGCTCCTTCCAAAATGGTTGCTATTCAAACGAGTATAATCAAACTAGTAAGACTATTCAAACAGTACAATGAAACTTTTGTGCACGGAACATGAAGACAAACCGAAAGGTTCAAAAGCGCCAGTGCAAACTAGAACCTCACTTTTATTCAATGAGCAAACACAATTTATACTAGTTAGAGCACTTAATGATCACTGCGTATGAGCAGAGCAGCATAGTATATTCCTTTACTTAAAAATACTACAACCTTCAACAGAAACGTTCCACTATCACACCTTGTTTAGCAAGTGAATTTCGTTTCACAGTCACATCTTGTTAAGCAAGTGAATTAAGTTCTACGGATGGGTGACTGACACACAAGTCTAGAGATATATCACGCCTCCATAATCTCTTGTTGCCTTAAAGTTGTCTGTCTAGCTCACCTTTCGCTATTGTTGCTATTCAAACAGTATTCGATTTGCATTTGTATGCGCTTCGGTGTCACCACTATCTGATTCATATAGACACTGAAGAAACGGGGTGTGCAAACACGCACGGACACAAGATAGAAAGAAATCAAGGCGGTTGCGGTGTCGTGACTTCTCTCTTGAACATCCTGTCTCTTTAACATAACAAACTGGAAGCCATACATGGGCGTGAATAGAAGTATGTTCACACATGTGTCAACTATTAACAGGCGAGCTTTAGTAGCGAAGAAGAATAATTCCCGCAAGTATACGTCACTGTCATTAAAACGAAAATACTACAGCCACTATATAGCAGCGATTCTTGCAAAGAGGCTGAAACATAGATCATAGCAAAGCAACGAGAGGAAAAGACAAGACTGTGCAGAGGTCAGTGGGACGTCAAAATGTAGGAGAAACGTTGGGAGACCGGAGGATGGCATAATTGGTCAAGCGGAAAGTCGAGGAATCAGATATGCTTGTTGACACCAAACGAAAGAAGTGGAGCTCGACCAGCTACGTAATGCGCAGAACAGACAACCGGTACACAGTACGAGAAACACAATAGTTACCAAAGAAAGGGAAGCGCAGTCGAGGTAGGCAGATAGTGAAAGATGGAATGAAGAAATAAGTCCACAAGGATAAAATAAAATGAGCTCGCACAGGATAGAATAAATTGGATATCGTTAGAAAAGGTCTTTGTCCTGTTGTGAACTAGAACAAAAATAACATGATGACAACGATTACAATTATAATGATGGGGAGAAACAAGCAAATGCTTTCTCGTTCTCGGTATATTTCAACGTCACGTCCCACTTCCACTGAAGATTTTTGCATGTCACGCGGTGTTCTACTGCCACTGGCATCGCTCCATCTTTGGCCGCTCGGCGATTTCAATTGAACACGTCACGCATTTGCGATGTGTAACGTCATGCTCGCGTCACACGTTATCTTTTCACGTCATCGATTTCCGGGAGAGTACGCTTGTTTCTGGGCTGGTTCTTGCGAGACATTGCACAAGTCTCCCTAACGGGGGCGTGAGCATGGGCTCTTATGCCTTTAAGGTAATAATAGCGTTTCGCAAAACAACCTACAACTCATTGTAGAATGTTTCCAGGCTTCGTTTCTACAAAAACTGCTTATTAAATCTTGCCTCAATAAGAAATTAAGCAGGAAAAAAGTAGTGTACATTCGTTTTGTTGCGTAATCGTGCTTCGTCATAATTTTAAAGTGCCTAGAGCCAGCTGGGGCACCCTCTATATTTTCCTGGCGTTCTAACACTGATTGTACGAGTGCCCGTAATTAGCACCTTCGCTAGCGCAAGCAGTGTTTCTATGTGATATGTTGTGTTCTGCGGTGCCACTTATATGATGCATACTCGGCATAAGCCTTCCATTTTGAGTCTTGCTTCTTTGGTACCTCCGCTGTTTCACTATGCGATCAACCCCTTTTCGAGGTCCATCTCAAACCGATGGCTTGGGGTCTCCACTGCAATGTATACGGGATGTACTTGCAAATCATTTCGGTGTAAGTGCTAACTAACATAGTCAATAGCCTACGCGTGCAAGCTACGGCAAACTTGAAGACAGCCTCAACCCGAAATATACCGTGGAAAATAGAGTAATTTCAGTTAGGCATTAACCTTTATCTATATAAGAAGCACATACTTGCTCAGCGAATTCTGCATACGAAAAGGTCGCCCTAATGCTTCTCGAATCACTCATATTCTAGGTGACACTGACGACAGACAGGTCTCAGGACATACACACGATATCCAAGCTTTCAAAACGAAAACCATCTAAGTCACATATAACCGCAAACAAGGTAAGACTCCTTTGCATTTAAATGCTGACGGCAACGGGTTCACCACGCGAACATAGCAAACTACGTTTAAGTCTGTGATCAACTGCTTTTATTTCCACGTTGAATTCACCTGCTTGTAAAGAACGTGCAGTGCTCAAATAGTGTTTTGGCGGGTGACCTTACTTGAAATAAAGTATCGCCCACGAAATGCGCGCTCTGTGCTAAAATCTATTGATTCATCTCGTGGAGTTACTTGTCCCGAAATACTGAGCTGGGCGTCTTAACAATGTTTATCACTGACCAAGCTGCAACAGATAACTAGATAAAAATATTAACGACTGAGCTGCTCCTGACATTTAAGCTGTTTAAGGCGGCCCTAACTTAGGCAACTCAAAGGAAAAATCACTGCATCTACCCAGAGTGAGTGATGATGACTGGGCGCACCGGTGGGTTTGTTTGTTGTTACTGTCAATCGCCCGTGACATTGCCCACGCACGCATGTAATCGAGTGACAGTTACATACACACGCTGTACAGTTATATACAATGTTAGGGACAGGCTAGTGGAAACGCTAGACCATCTGCGAGTGGGGCAGGAGAAGTTGCCCGGGCAACAGACTAACTCAACAGTTATATGTAATGTTTATTGATCATAAAGGGTGTGTCGTATCGAGTTCTGTATTTCATTTTGCGTTCATTATCAATTTTGGTGCGTGAGACGCCGAGCCAATGGTTCTTCTGTCGGATCTACCCTGAAGTTGGACAAGGACGTCATATCGCGCAGTTTGAGAACGTTTAATAACTTCTTTTCGTGTTGCTGTAAGACAGCGAGCTCTTCCGCAAACTAAACCAAACCATTTGCACTCGCAGGGGACTGAACTTAGCACCGCGGAGACACCAAGAACCAGACGCCAACACGAAATTGCCACGGCAATCGCCACAATTGGGCTGCTGGTGGTCATCGGCGCTCTTCTGGCAGCCTACTTCTACACAACAGGCATGAAGCGCAAAAAAGTGGTGACGTGCGTGACCGAGGACTGCGTCGCCTTTGGCCAAGAACTGAGCGCAGCCATCAACAAGGCGGCCGACCCGTGCCACGACTTCCACGCGTACGTCTGTGGCACATGGGACGACCCCAATCGTCAGGTGTCCACCGAGGACCAAATGAGAACTGCAGCCTTGAATATGGCGATCAGGGAGGTAAGAGAGGACAAATCGCATGTCGGGAGAGCGGCGCAGTTCTTTGAGAGTTGCAACAGGGCCGCTACTGATACCACGGAGAACCTGAGGCTGTTCACGGAGCTCCGCGCATCTCTCGGGCTGACCTGGCCCGAGCACAGTACACCAGATGTGAAGCATCCGCTGGACATCATGGTCGACTTGGCGCTGAACTGGCAGATGAACTTCCTGTTCGATATAACCACCACCTTCGTTCGAGGATCTCCAACGCTGCTCGTCCTACGAGGTCGTCTGGATGCTGTTTGGGAGCAGGACCTGCGTAACCCTAGGACGCCCGAGCAGTATACGATATTTACTTGAGCGATTACTTTGAAATACTCGGTGTACGCCGTTCCCGAATCCACATCAAAACGGCCGATCTGGTCCAAATTCAAAATAGCATCGTCGAAGCCAAGATCGACTTCCTCTACGACACTCCTCAACAAGACTGGTTACGTGTAGGCGACCTCGACGATAAGACGCCGACGTTCTCGACAGGCTCCTGGCTAAACGCCCTCGCTAAGCATGACAAACAGTTCAACTGGACCCGTGACAGCCCTGTGATCGTCGAGGACATCAAGATACTAGAAACCACGGCAAGATTGCTGAAGAATTTGACTCGTGAAAACTTGGTCGTAGCGTTGTCGTGGATATTCATTCAGACCCACCTCTGGGCTGTCGTCGGTACACCATCGCTAAGATTTCGTGGCTCATCCTCGGAAGTGCAAACCATGAAGGAGCACGGCTGCATGACGTACGTCGAATCACTTCTCGGTCTGTCCATCGTGGCCAAACTGATGAGTGATCGCTACGGTTACCTCGAGAGCCGGCACCATGCTGTCAGCTTCTGGGCAGGATGAACGAGAACATCAAGAGTCTAGTCAATAACCTTCCATGGATGGACGAATCCAGCAAGCAGATGGCGTATTCAAAGCTGGACAGAATGAACCGCGTCGTCATGCCACATAACAGCTTTTTCGTTCGAAAGGAACGCGAGGCACTGTACAGCGTGTTTCCGGACATGAAGGGCAGGACCTTTATGACGAACCTGTTGGGTGCTTCAAGAGTTTACCAGCGCCTCCGCAACCACGAACGCTTTCAGGACGTGTACAGCGTTCGCACGTTTCCACGTTTCGGCCGGGCGTTTTATTTGTACTCGCCCAACTCAATGACATTGGCGATCGGCGACCTGAACCCACCGCTCTTCTATTACAACGCCACGTTGGCCATCAGGTACGGTGCACTGGGCTCAATAGCGGGGCAACAGATTGCCAAGACGTTAGACGAAACAGGCGTCACAATAGACGTCGATGGCGTGCGCGGAGCATGGCTGAAGCCCGCTGCCGCCGCAGTGCATGCCGAGAAGTCCGACTGCGACGTCCGCACTACGACCGATCGCTCCAAGTGGCGTCCGCTGCGAGTGTTTCCCGCCGTGGCTGGCCTGGAGGTCGCTTACGCGAGCTTTAGTGCGGCCGTGACGAGGGACTACCTCGCCGTAGAAGACTTCCGGATTCTTCACCTCGAGCAGTTCACGGACAAGCAGATATTTTTCCTCGCGTTCTGCTATTCGCAGTGCTCGAAGCGACCGCAGACGAGAGGCGACGAGTGCAATGTACCGGCCAAGAATTCGTACCTTTTCGCAGAAGCATTCCACTGCTCCTCGAAGAGCCCCATGAATCCACCTGAGAAGTGCCAGTTTTTTGAACCGTCATGAAGTCCGCCTGCCTTTTTTTTATCTTTTTCAGTGCATGTTTTCACGATATATTTATTTTGACGAGACCAACAGCCATATTAAGAACAGTGTGCATGTCCGCCCACATAGGAATGACAGCACACGTATATACGGTGCACCTGAAATTGAAGGCAGAGTCGGTTCTATTGGCATTCTTTTTAAGCGGCTAAATATTGTTTAAAAATAAAAAAGACATTTCAGGAGTGCAGAAACGATTATATTGCTACATGCATGCATACTGACATTTTCTGCGACTATGCGCGTGTGTGGCACCGAGATCGCAGCTGGTTAAAGTGACAGCTAGCCATGTTCGGTAGCCGCGAAAGCTGAGGCAGAACTCGTCGGGTTTTGGCCATTTCGAAGCGGCGGCATTTCTTTTTCATGAGGTCGACTGTCGTAACGTTGCTGTGCGCAAGCGGGTTGAAAGCGCCGTCCGCGATGGCATTTGAGTATATGGCTCACGCACTCCGTCATTTGCCCATCCACTTTCCGGCACAACGCGAGCACGTCATGTATGTACGAGACACGACGCGGTTGATGACCGCACACGGGTGGCAATTGCTTTTCGCACGGCAATTCGACGACCGGACAGGTCGCCAAAGATGTCTCATTGACGTTCCTTACCATACACTTGAGGTGCATACAAGTAAAAAATTACATTGACGAGCTGATTCGATGGTTAGGGTCCCATCCGTGAGTCTGGCCAACACGCTCGTACATTTGGAGCCAGTAGTCAACGTCATAGCAAGGTTGGGCGGAAAACGTACCGGGATGAAAAAGGGGGGGGGGGGGCGGTAGGGCATCGTAAGGTACGTAGTGGCCGCTGGCACCTCAAGTGGAGACGGTTGTCATTGGAATCTACGGCCGGAGGCTGAACAGTGCCGCCGCTGCGAAGCTTCGTGGCGAGGACGGGGAATGTTCCACCTGCACCAAATATTGTGACGTGAAAAGGAGACGCCGTGTCGATTGATTGATTGATATGTGGGGTTTAACGTCCCAAAACCACCATATGATTATGAGAGACGCCATAGTGGAGGGCTCCGGAAATTTCGACCACCTGGGGTTCTTTAACGTGCACCCAAATCTGAGCACACGGGCCTACAACATTTCCGCCTCCATCGGAAATGCAGCCGCCGCAGCCGGGATTCGAACCCGCAACCTGCGGGTCAGTAGCCGAGTACCTTAGCCACTAGACCACCGCGGCGGGGCGCCGTGTCGACGAGGCTGTAGATAAGATATATTTCAAACCAGCAGTTTTCAATTGATTGATTGATGATTGCCCCTTTAATCCAGGCGCTAACCACCGTAGGGGATCGGCCATGAAACGAGTAGTGCTTTGCTTTATAAAAAAATTGTTCATAATTTGAAAATGTTAAGCAATGGATAGTTTTAACATCAATTGTTGAAGTATTTCACAAAAAATGACATATATTTGTAATGAATATGCTTGACTTTGATTACCCTTGAATTCAATTCACTTTATATAATAAAAAAGAGCATTTTTTCATTATGTTTGATTTCTATGAACCTAGCTACCATTCAATTCGTCTCGCCTCTCGCAGGGAATCGCATATACCGTGTCTCGCAAACGCTCCTGTGGTAGCTCCAAACGACACGAGACCCGGAAGGGATAAATTGAATTCGAAGTGGTTTGTCTGGAAGTCTTTTCCTCCGATTGGTGAATAATCTGCACGTTGTGAAGAAATGATCTAGAGATTCACTTTCATTGCAATGGAGGCGTCAATGTGACTGCACCAGACCAGACCAAAGTGGGTAAAAGTTTAGTAGGGAGACTGATATCTCGGCTCTTGTGGAGGAGCATCATGTTTTCAACGACGATTGAGGTGAGCGAACTGAAAAGCTGGCAAGGCAGACTTAGCGAAGTAGTCCATAGTGCCAAATTTTGCAAATCGCGCCGCAGTTACAAACGGCAACGTCGGCAAAGTATAGACATCGTAGGACTACTATGCGGTGTGATGCAAGTGCGAGTTCATCCGCATATTCGTTAAGAAGTATACATTTGTGCCCTGGTGCCCACTCCAAGCGAATTATACGTATATGTCCTGGAATAAGAGAATACAATGCTTCTAAAGAACTTTAAAAATTTCATGCAGTTAATGAGGAATAGACGGATAGGCTGCCTGTCAGAAACACGGCTCCTGATATTGATTGGAGTAAGTTTCGTAAAGCTAAAATAACTGAAAGTAATTCCACTTGATAAGTACGCGTAAAGTCGGGCAAGAAAGGAAAATAGGAGGAAAAGAACGGCAAGGAGGTTGACCAGTCTATACGCAGCCGGTTTGCTACCCTGCGCATGGAAGGGGCAGATAAAAGATAGAGAGGAGAGAGGGAGGAGAAATAAACGCAGCAATTAAGCAGCACACGTGCGCACACTTGCCGGGTAAACGAATTGAAAAAGACTATATCCAGAGATAATGATGCGATTCCCACCACTGCCTTTTCTTCACGAACTGAAGCATCAGTTGCTATGGATGAAAACGTATTTATTTATTTATTTACATGAAATTTTCTGTGGAGAAGCTCCAAGTAGTCGGAGATGCTTGGCTTGCGGTGGGGGGGGGGGGGGGGGGGCTTAGTTTAGGGCTCCGCTTGCAGCAGCCGCTCTGTGGGTCCGGTTGATCAGACTCAACTGATCTTCCAGGTTCTCGCTGGCCAGCAGCTCCTCCCATCGCTCCGCTGTTGGATTTTGTACTGGTTGTAAGGCTGTAATGGCCTGACACTCCCACGTGACGTGGTACAGAGTGGCTTTAGCGGCAGCCGTTTCTAAGCTAGACAAATGGTCTTCTTTAAGTATCTGCTGGGCAAATGGTTGCAATTCTTAAGAAATATGTCGTCAAATTCTGGTATAGTTGTTAGTACAGATCTGCTCATGAATATTACTTCACGGAGCTGCACTAGCAATGTTTCCGATTGTATCTGAGTGTAAATAAACAATAGGGGCACCGTAATCTTGACCACTGATGATCGAATTATTGCATCAGTTGATAGATAAAAATGTACTACGGTCTCCTCAAAGGCGATTCATATATCTTCTGTTTATTCGGGCAGAACTTGTGGCCACGCAAAATGAAAGAAAGACACTGGCACTGATAGCGGCGAACAGAGCGTCGGCTGTCGATCAACTAAAAAGCAGCGAAGCGTGTCGGCATTTGTGCACCTGGCATCGAATATTCTAGCGTTATCGCTAGCGGTGACGTAGGTTCCCGAATAATCTGTGACGTTCTCGAAGAGGGCGTAATCTTAGCAAAACTATCTACTAAAGCCTCGAAGCTTCTCGAACATCATAGGCGTGGTTTGCGGTGAACGTAGTGATAACAAAACTTGAGGAAAGGAATGTGGAAATATCAAACTAAACGTCTTTGAAAGGGCAATAACTTCAACCCTGTCAGTAATAGTAACACACGTGACTTCATCATGCCTGACACACTTATTAACCGCTTGCGTCGGTTTCCTGTGATTTGCTGTCATGCAGACGATGGGCGGACAATGTACAATGCAAACTACAATCACACGTAATAATTAACTGAAGATACGTTTAAAATTCTGCGAGCACACTCTGTATTACCGCTTATTTATTATTCATAACAAATGCTTTATTTCAAACTGAGTATATATATATATATATATATATATATATATATATATATATATATATATATATATATTCAGCAGGAAGTTCAAGGGGTCTGGTACGTATAAAGAACACAAGCGAGTACACGTACGAAAGAGCAATACTTTTATGCCAACGTTTCAGCCGTGGCACGGCCTTCGTCAGGGAATGACGAAGGCCGTCCCTGACGAAGGCCGTGCCACGGCTGAAACGTTGGCATAAAAGTATTGCTCTTTCGTACGTGTACTCGCTTGTGTTCTTTATATATATATATATATATATAAAACTAAGTAAGAAAAAAGAGAAGGCAGGCCTGCTTCTTCGTATCAAATATTTTTAGACAAATTTTGGAAGTCCAAGAAATAATCGTAACGGCGTTCTAGAAGAACCACTGGCCGCAGATTGTATGCAGATGGACCAGAAAACAAGACGCAGCCGAACTGTAATAGCAGGCAATTATACGTGCAGTAAATCGTGATGCGATCCCGGCATAAACCTGAACGCTGGTTGCCGAGTCTACGAACGATCCCTAGCGCGCGTGTTGCTTTGGCAGTCATATTTTCTATATCCGGATCGCGGCGTGGAATGCTAACCAGTGACCGAACGAAGACAGTCCTCTCCGTCGGGCAGACACGTGAATGGTCGCAGAGAATGTAAACGTGCATGCAGGTCTCCGTTCGGTCGGTGGTTAGCCTGCCGTGCCGCAACTGCTGGTTTGAAATATATCGTATTCACATCCTCATCGACCCAGCGTCTCTTTTTTTCACGTAAGAATATTTCTTACAAACACCGTACTGTCGTACATGCCTTTATATAGGTGCTGCGTTTAAACGTGAATAAGATAGCCGGATTTTTATTTCTCCCCACCTGTTCTTGCACAAGCAGCCCACACAGGAGAGGCGTACAAGCAGAAATTTTTTCAAGGGTGGCACAACTTTGAAATGGTAATTTTTTGCTCTATATTCTATGGCGAAAAATATCACGGGGGCTCCTCGCTACACCACTGCCTGATAGTACGCAGATTTCCTGCGTAAGCAGAAGAGCCTTTCCTTACAAATATTCTTAATGAGAAATTATTGAAAGACTGATCAATATTGACACGTATTCAATAGCAATTCTCTTTTCATTGAAAAAAAAATCTTCAGCATATCCAATGTATGATCAGTGGGGCGAAGGGTCTGTTCATGCTTCCATCCATCCGTGCGTCCAAGCAAGCACGATCCGGCACGCTCACTCCTCCACGTACGGGGGCCAACGTGAGCGGATGCCTGCAACGTCGGCTCCGGCAAACGGTACGTGCTACTCTTTACCAACCTTTCCTGCGGTCACTAGCCTGTTCGAACAGCGACAT